AAAGTTTTAAGCCTAGCCTTAAAAGTAGACAGGGTGTCTGCCTCACAAACTAATATTGGTAGTTTAGTACTAAAGAGAAGGTGTTGAAGTGATGAAGGTTAATTGGGGTTACTCTAGTGATCCTGGAACACAAAAAAGAGAGATGAGAACCCAGACTCAGTAATACCCAGAAAATAAAGTCTAAAGAAAATTACCAGGTGTCAAAGCCCAGCTCCAACCGGTCAGGGTGAGAATTGGTCCTTGTGGTCTTTGGGTGGGTTACAGAGAGCAGGGCTACTGACATCCCTATACAACTGTTTAAGCTCCATAGACAGTCCAGGGTCAAGAACAATTTCACATAGCACAGGTGAAGAGCTTGTATTTGAATAGTAAGCAGGCCAGGTGAGAACAAACAGTAAGCGCTAACCCTCCATTTGCACGTTCCTACGGGTCACCAAGGGCCAGTGGACCTTTCAGCCCTTAAATAGTGACTGGAATTTGCCAGCGGGTGTAACTAAACTAATGGCGGTGGAAACACTGGCATTGAAATTTAAGTCACATTGGCGGGAAATCACAAGTTGGGAAAAATGCTACAAGACGTCACTGGGAAGGACCTCTTTAATCATTTTTTTTTTATCTTGGCCTCCCTTCATTAGCTGCCTGTGCGTTCTAGAGTTCATCTTAAGATTATTTTCTTTGTTTTTAATTCTTTAAATGGTTTGGCTCCTCTTTACATCGCTGATCTTCTCCTACCCTTCCCTTTTATGTGGTTTTATGAGGTTTTATGTATTTAGTTTTATTCTTTTAAACTTCTATGTTGTTTTTATATATTTTGAACTTTCCTTGGTATGTAAAGCCCTTTGTTAGAGCTGTAGTTGTTTAAAGGGCTATAAATATAGTTGACTTGAGTTGACCAAGTAAATGTATTTTTCAGAAAAGAGCAAATGTTTGATGTCATGTCAACCTGCACCACAGGATTTCACTATGTTGCTATAGCAACTGCTCTCCTTTAGCAGGGGACGGACGAGAACATCCCACTCTCATTTGTGCACCCACCAGAAATTACAGCTGGGGTCAAAATAACAGCTGACTGTTTTAAATCTGGTCTCCTCTTCGCAGATATTGATGAGTGTGAAAACAAGACGGTTTGTCCTTCAGGGATTTGCTACAATGAGCCAGGAGGCCATAGCTGTGGCTCCTGTCCTGATGGCTTTGTCGGCCATGAAGGTCACTGCATTGGTAGGTCTGACCCTGTTCATAAAGTCTGTCCAATGATTGTTATCCTGTGCTTTCCTGTCATGTTTGCATCTTACTGACAATGTGGTAAGATAACCTTTGTACCACTTCAGATATAGACGAGTGCCAAGATGAGCGAGTGTGTATCAGAGGCCAGTGCCTGAACACCGAAGGCTCCTTCCTGTGCCGCTGCTCGCCAGGCTTCCGGTTGTCCTCAACTGGAGACGAGTGTGATGGTATACTAGTTCTTACACTGACCTGAATGTTGTTCATTTTTATGTCTATTGTGCCCTGACTTTTGGCTAATTTATCAGTTTTTTTAGTTCAAAAGTATAAACTCGTGAAGTACACAGATTTATTAGTTTATTTATTTTAATGCCTATTGGAAAAAAACAACTAACCCTTTGTCTTTCTCATAAATTTAGGTGTTACATTAGATTAACAAAGTTAAATGGACTCTAGGGAAAAATGTTGTGTATGACAATGCTTTGATCCTATGGAAGCTAACTCCACTGACAAAAGCCTCCACATTTACTTAGCTAAGTGTGTAAATAATGATGGAATTGTGATTTATTTTTTTTTCTCTTTTTAACCACTTCTGGAGGACATAGGGACCCTTTTTTCTCATTTTCTGCTTCATACTATTTCTATTCTCCCACTCTGCAGAATCTGTTAGTTCAATCTCTAACTTTCTGCTCTCTCTGCTTTTTCTCATAGTAGCTTCATCTGGTCTGTTCCTGTTTGGCTGTGACTCCATCCTGGAGAGAAATATCAGCTGTGCTGCTGCCATCAACACCTTTGTTTATTGATGTTGGTTGATTGCATCGACTCATTGACTTGAAGGCAATCCTTGACACTAAGCATGTTAGTAGCGACAGTGGAGAGGAACAACTCCCTTTGAACAGGAAGAAACCTCCAGCAAAACCAGACTCAGTGTAACTGTGGCTCAGTGACTGGGGTTCAAAGAGACAGAAGCAGAGATACAAAAAGCAAAAAGGCGGCCCCGTCCAGGAAACACACAGCCAGGCAGACGCGCTGTGAGCCAGCTCCCATGTCAGAGGATGAAAAGAGCACATCCAGTTAGTCACATTCAGAGAAACAGGACTACACTGAAAAACAGGCAAAGCTCCAACATCTATAAACAAAGGTGTTGATGGCAGCAGCACAACTGATATTTCTCTCCAGGATGGAGTCACAGCCAAACAGGAACAGACCAGATGAAGCTACTATGAGAAAAAGCAAATAGAGCAGAACAATAGATTGAACAAATAGATTCTGCAGAGTGGGAAAATAAAGATAGAATGAAGCAGAATTATACTTAGGGTTCCCTATGTCCTCCTTTGTAATGACAAATAAAGCAGTTTGTCCTTGAAAGGCTGAACCATCACTACATGTGAGAAAGTTGTTGAAATGTGATTACCTTCCAGATGTGGATGAGTGTCAGGAGGAAGCCTCTCCTTGTCAGGATGTGGGAGAGTGTGTGAACAATGTCGGCTCCTACACCTGCATCTGCCCTGAGGGTTACAAACAGATCAGCAGCACCAATTGCACAGGTGACTTGTCCCACTCTGTCAGACCTACTGCTCCTGAACAACCACCACTGGCTTTTATATGTGCTTGTTATGGTTATCAGTTTGGATATTTAAAGTTCCAGCTGTCCCAATATTCTGTCTCTCTGTCCCAACCACATCCTCTGTTGGCTTCCTTAACAGATGTGGATGAATGTGCGGAAGAACTTTGCTCCCCTCATGGAACGTGTCTGAACACTGAAGGCTCCTATCTGTGTGTGTGTGACAGTGGATTCGCTGCCAGCCTTCATTCGCCTTCTTGTGATGGTAAGAAGCAGAACCACAAGCTAGAATTCAACTCAATGAAACCTTGTCAAATACTGTATATTTGACCCCATAAGCCAAGTGTGACAGAAAGGTATTGAGGAACATTTTTCAGGTAGAACCATTATTTTAAATGTCACCATGTCTGATTTATAGGTAATTAAACAAAGAAAAAATGAAAAATATTTAAACTCGGCAGAATTTTTTCCAAAATAAACACCGCAAAACACCATGAAACCCCATTTGAAACTCTGGATGGTCTTTATGTTAGGCACATTTGAACTGAATAAGTTGAAGCATGTTTGTTCCACAAAGGTTTTAGTGGGCAGTGTGGTGGGCGCAAATATGATTTAGACATAGCGGTGCCAAAAGTGGCCAAATGCATTTTTCCCCCCATGAAAGGGAATCTGGCCTGACAAATATACATTATTAAAGACCTTCTGCATAAGACAAAGCCTTTTCTCCTAAGATTTTTTTCATAGAAATTTACCAATAATATCACCGGACCGAATAGAAAATAAGAATAACAGAGTAAGCTTATGTAACGCATGCCGGTTACATCACCTGAAACGGTCGCACAATTACCTCCGACATCTCCTTGGAAAGCCACTAGTTCGCAATGACGGCGGCCTAACTGACTGGTTCATCTGGTAGAAGTGTCTCTGGAAAGTGACCTGAGATGACGTGATGTGAATTAGAGCTATAGAAATAAACTGAATTGGAGAGGAATTAACATAGATTAAGAACAAACTTGAAAGCTGTAAACACAACATCCTAAGGAAGATGGCTGAGATGCTCAAAGGTGTCCACCCTTATTCCCCTTATCCTTGTCTGTTTCGCTTTCCCTCTGAGGAATAAGATGGGTAGAAAAATATCTGTAATATCTTAACAGTGTGCTGCTCCAGTTTTCACTTCTTCAGAGAGAGTTTGCTGCACTGTGTCAAAAGCTGCTCCATGCCTCAGAAAACCAGAGAGAACAGAAGAAAAACAACAGGAAGAGAAACAGACAGAAGACTTTAAGCTCGCTGTCTAGACTTTCAGGAATATTTGTTACCCTCTCACTCATGATTTCTGCAAACAGCATCTGGAGCGCTCTCTGGGTATATTTCTGTGAAACCTTGTAGTATTTTCCTGTTTCACGTTAAGGTCCATCAGTTTGGAAAGTTTGCTAGCATTCATTACATTACGGTTACTTTTATACACTGAATGTCACAAATTGAATTCGTTTCATGGATGGATATTAAAAAAGAGAGATATTTAGTCACAAAATGAACAGATATTCCACTGTGGTGTTGTTTTTCAGACATTGATGAGTGCGGGCTTAACGAAACACGGTGTGGACCCCACGGTGACTGTGAGAACAGACTGGGCTCTTTCTATTGTCATTGTGACCAAGGCTACCAGGTGGCTCAGGATGGCCAGACCTGTGAAGGTGAGTGTTTATCACAAATGCGAGATGTTTGGGATTAAATTCACAGATGAATGGACAGTTAGAACCCTGGATTATAAAGTATGGTGCGCACATACCTTTGCACACATTCAGACCAGTGATGGACAAAAGCATGCAGAATGGCACTAGACATTTTTTTTTTATCCCCAGCACCTAGTTTGTTTTTAACACTCCAAAATATTGTAAAGTATTTCTTTTTTTTCTGGTAATATTTAAAAGGTTCTTGGGGTTTTTAAAATATTTGCGGGGAGAGGCTTATTTATTTATTAAGCACATTTCAATTCAGTGTTTAGGATTTGAGTCTGATTTTGTTAAACCTGTTTTGCGAAACAGGCCTTTGGTTTAAAGGATTGCTGAAAGTGTTGACTGTTGATTTAATAGCTGCTGCTTACCAATGTGGGAGATTCTAGCAGCAATTCTGCCCAAATGTGAATAATGATATGTATGACTCTACAGAGCATTGTTAACCTGCATGTCTAGAATCTGTACACCGTCCATTTGTTGTGTTCTCATTTAAAACTCTCTTTCTGTCCTTTCTTCCCAGATGTGAACGAGTGCGAGCTTCTGAGTGGTGCGTGTGGAGAGGCAGAGTGCATGAACATGGACGGGTCCTTCCTCTGTGTGTGTCCCAAAGGACAGGAGTACAACGTTGTGATTGCCAAGTGTGAGCCCATCCAGACAGGTAACCCTGGAGCTGACAAGCTGGTGGCGGTAAGGCACCTGGAGGTTGTTAGCCTCCAAACCCCCTGTAATTGAAAAGAATACGAAAACAGAACCATCGATTGGATGTTATATCTGTGCCAAAATGTTTTCAATGCACTCACAGCATCATGTTCAATCAGTAGCTCTGTTTTGTCCTTTCATCCTCTTCTGGTTTAAAAAACAGATGGCAAGCATTTTTTAATTTGCATTGCTGCCACTTATTGATAAGATGTGCAATAGCTTAATCTGTGTTTTAGACTCTTAATAAATCTGTCATTTTTACTGTTTTGTTTTAACTTCATAACTTTTATTCATAACTTCCAAACTTGTAAGATGTATGTATGATCCGACAGGAAACAAATTCAAATCTTAAATGTTTTCACACTCATTGACTTAGATTTACAAAATCGGACAATTATCTTACCTTACACAGCGTTTTTTAGTTAGTTGGGTGCTAATGACCTTTCTTTTTTACTAAAATCTATCTTATTTATAAAGAATCCCATAAAATCATATCTGCTTAGAGCAGGTGGGATGGATGGTTCAACAGAGCTATGGCTTTAGTTGAGTTTGGCAACTGTATTAAAAAGATATCTAGGATTATTCTTATTCTCCTCTATTAATGAGGAGAGGTATGCTGCTCTTGCTTTACAAAGGGTCCTCTTTTACAGCAGTAAATTATTTTTCCAGACAAGGTAGGATTCCTGTAGGCCTGTGAAGCGCCATTTTCTCTCCAGTTTCCTAGCATTTTGCTTCAGAGTGTGCAGCTCTGCATTAAACCAAGTAGGCAGCTTTCTATTTTTAAAGTTTTTCTTTATCAAAGCTGCACTGTCTAAGACAGTACGTCTAAGGCAGTACGCAGAGAACTAGCAACACCATCAACAAAATGATCAACCTGTGAAGGGGAACAGGCTAAACTTTTGCCTTCTGCAGCACTGCTCAGCGACACAGAGGAAAGAGAAAGTGAAACAGATTCTTTATTATTTATAACTGCATTTATCTGACAATGATCTGCTAAAGTGAAACCTTCTTTTGGTTCTCCTTGCCCAGAATTTCTGGGTATGTGAAAATTTAAATAACTTGAAGGAGTTGCTTCATTCATGCTCACGTAATCCTCTTGCTGCAGCCAAGTTTCTGTAAGGCAACATAAATATATGTGATTATCACAAATCAAGTCATGAACTAGCAGACTTTTAGAAGAAAGCGATGTTAAAAAAGCCACATTTAATAGTTTTAATTTTTTTCCCCAATTGGAGATGTTTTAAGCTTAATTACCGTAGATTATTCTGACAGGCTCAGAACAAAAGAACCTAGTTTCGAGGCAGAGAGACAGGTTTAACATTTTTAATATTATTTAATATTGAACTGCAGAGAACAGCGTCAACAACTAAGGCAGGAACCTCTGCAGTAGGAAACACAGGTTAGTGACCACGTCTATCTGGTGGAGGATGATAATGAACGTGTGAGGCACTAATCTGATGTTAAAGTTAAGTGTGTGCCCAGTGGATGAGGTTGGTTCCAGCCGCTAGGCTGCCAACCAGACATGGCGGGCGCCGCCCAGATGCTCCCAGAAGCTGAAGTCCCGGAGGTCCGAGGACAGGCAGGAGTTCAGAACTGAGCAGACGAAGGAAGGCAGGATAATCAAAGTCTACGTCTAAGTATAAAAGTCTAAGCTAAATCTTGGTGTCATGATGGACTCAGACCTGAACCTTCAGAGGCTCATAAAGGCAGTTTCTAAGTTAACCTTTTTTCACCTGAAGAGCATCTCCAGGATTGAAGGACTAATGTCCAAGCAGGATCCCGAGAAACTCATTCATGCATTTATCTGCAGTAGAATTGATTACTGCAGCAGTGTCTTCATAGGTCTAGAAAGTCCATCACACAGCTGTAGCTGATCCAAAACGCTGCTGCCTGTGTCCTCACTATAACTAAGAAAGAAGAACACATCAGCCCGGTTCTAAAGTCCTTCCACTGGCTCCCTGTAGCTCAAAGGATAGACTTCAAAATCTTTCTTTTAGTCTATAAATCACTGAATAGATCAGCACCTCAATCCATAACAGATCTGTTGTCAGTAGATCAACCTCCTAGACCACTCGGGTCTTCTAGTTTCAGCCTACTCTGTCCACTCAGAACTAGAACCAAAGATGAAGCAGCATCTATGCTTCACTGATCTGGAACAAACGGCCCATGTGAGCATGTAGATTGTATCAGAGCGTCGGGCCACAGTGTGAGAACATGCATCGTGAGCTTTGAACTTTTAAACCCTGTGGTTTTGTTGTACAGTTTGAGTTGAAGCTGCGTGCAACTATTGAAAAGATCGCACAGTGTATGCCCGGCTTAAGAAGAGATTGAAATCTTCCTTTTTTACTTGATTAAGATAATTAATTTATATTCAATTTTTCTTTATTTCTTTATAGGCCCTTTGGTGGAGCGGAAGGATTGCTACTACCATCTTAATGATGAGAACCTGTGCGAGAGTGTGCTGAGCAGCCATGTCACGCTACAGGAGTGCTGCTGCACTCTGGGAGCAGGGTGGGGGGATAACTGTGAGGTATACCCTTGTCCTGTTAACGGTACAGGTGAGTTGGTGGATTAAAATGTGTGCAAGCCTCATATTTCTAATCTCTGTCTACATACAGTAAATGGGTTTAGGATGGTCAGCTTTAAAATCCAAAAAGAAAAACACAGGGGAACCATTCTGTTGCGCTGGATGGGTAACGGTTAAAGTTTTTAACCAAGACATTCAGCTAAGCATCAGGCATATCTAGCTTCACTAAAAAGTGTTACTATGGAGGTATGGATTATCTAATGCATCAATAATGGTGACCATCTTGTTGTGAAGTAATAAACCAAAGTAGGGCAACTCCAGTCCTTATAGGCTGGTAGCCTGTAACTCTTAGATCTGTCCTTGGGTTAACACTAAATCAAGTAATTAGGCGACTAGCAGGAATCTGGAGCAACGGACTGCATAGTGAGGAGGTAGGTTAGGCATATCATTCAGATGTGTTAGAAGATAGATAAATGTAAATGTTGCAGAAGGGGGCCTTCTAGGACTGGAGATGCCCACTTCTAGTCTACTACTTCCCAACATTATGGTCACTGTCATCAATACAACATCAGACAATACATATCTTCAGAAAGAGCAAAAGAAACATCTCCATTATAGAGCATAGAGGAAAAAAATAATAGGAATAATCATGCTGCCATCATTGATTCTCATATTTCAGGTTATGACCTCACTTAGAATGTAAACTACCCAACATCTATGTTAAACTGCTTCAAAGAATCATTTAGAATGGACCAAACTGGCTGCTTTGTTTGCAGTGTTGTTAGCTGATGACAGCGGGAAGGGATCAACTCAGTCGCTCCATTGTAGGTGTTTGAAAGCTGAAATCTGAGTCCACTCCCTCTGTTTAAGGTTGGTTTTTCTTTCTTAACATAGCACCAGAATGTTCACATTTTGGACAAAGAAAATAGGTGGTTTGAGAGGGGCCTGAAGGAAGCCATCTATGTTAAGAAAGGAAAACCAAACTTAAACGGGGTGGGGGGCGGGGTCAGTCAACCCCACTCACCCTCGCCTATAGACTACCAGAGATGGCCACTGTTTGGATTTCAGTTTTTAAAATGCCTACAATGCAGCGATAGAGTTGATTCCTTCCCGCTATCATCACGACCTCGACCCCTTTACAGGGGAACACAAGACCTCGCCTGTTCAGCCAGGCCAACAATCCCTGAGAGCTTAAACTGTCAAGGTATCAGCTCATTTCCAACACCTGTCTAACTTGAAATGGTCTGGTTATGTACACCCCAAAGCTACAAATGCAACTAAGTATTTTTTATTTTCTTGATTTGGTTGAATTGAATTGGGCTGAAAACCTTAAAGACACAAAATAAACAAATTAGTTATAAATCAAAGTTAATCATAATCTCACACATTTTGCACATTGACACTCAAATGACCATCTCAAGTGAGTGTAGAGACTTTTTTTTTAAAGATTTTTACCTTTTTTTTTCATTTCTGCCATTTCCATCAATCTTCTGATGTGATATTTCAAAATACGCGTAAGACAAAGCTGATGAAAATGCACCTAAAGTAAGTAAGGAAATGAGGCCTGACTGTTTTGAGAAATTTAATATTGAGGGTGACCAATAGATCCTATGTTTAATGTCAAGCCATTCTAAATCCTGCTACTGGATCATCAGGCGGAAAACATTTCTTTGCAGTATTTACAGAAGGTTTTGTTTGTTTTTACACTAACAACTTAAGCTCAAGTCCTCTCTATCCGATCTCTTTCAGACCAGTTCAACCAGATGTGTCCTTCTGGAAGAGGTTTTATTCCCAATGAAGATTTGTTATATGGAATAACCCTCCCTAACAGTTACAAAGGTAGGACAGATGTAAATGTTTTACCATGATATTATTTGACTAACAGAAGTTCTGTGGTATGTTAGACGATAAAAATGACTGAATGAAAAAAAGAGGCAAACTGATTATTAATATAGAAAATGATCAGTTGAAAAAATGTTATTCTGGCCAAAGGCAGGGGTCTGTTTCAGAAAGCAGGTCAAGTGAAAACACAGAGGAAAATTCAGGTAAATATCTGAATACCCTGGATATTCAGTTTCAGAAGACAGGTAAGCAATATTACTGAGTCTGGTTCTGCTGGAGGTTTCTTCCTGATAAAAGGGAGTTTTTCCTCTCCACTGTCGCTACAAGCATGCTTAGTGTGAGGGATTGCTTTCGAGTCAATGAGTCGATGCAATCAAGTGGTTTTCCTTAGATAGGAAACTGGATGATCTGGTGAACTGTAAAGTGCCTGGAGATGACATGTGTTGAATTGGTGCTATAGAAATAAACTGAATTAAATTGAGTTGAATACCATGTGTCAGTTGTCACAGCAACACATCCAACCCTGCTCAGTGGCAGGGTTTATTAAACTTTCTTAGCCGAGACTTATCAGAAGGGAAGTGTTGAAAAAGGATATGTACTTGCCAATGACAGTGGACAGAGTGCAAATGTTCCAAAAAAAAAAAAGTCTGTGCGGCTGATCCAAACGTGACTGGATGTTGTAAAAAAATGTAGATTAAACTGTTTTAGATTTTTTAAATTTTTTGCATCCGTCTATCTAGGGCTGGGCGATATAACCTCAAATAAATATCATGATAAATTGGACAGTTTTACCTCGATAAAGATAAATGCATGATAAATGCTTCGGCTCCTCCATGAGAAATAAGGACATAAACATAAAATGCAACTGATCTATTTATATTTTATTTATTGAATATATCACATTACATAATATTTTATATTAGATATTAAAGTATTGCACCCATTCAAGTTTAAACATTCAACAATGTCTTAATGTACAGCAAAAAAATGTTTAATAAAACACAATTGAATTGTCTCATTTCAAGTGTATTTTATCTAAATCTTATTTTAAGAGTAAAAATACTAATTCCATTGGCAAATCATCTCATTTACCTACTAAAATTTAAGGTAATTACACTTTAATTGAGAAATCTAGATTGTTTTTCCAGTGTAGATGGTGGAGGTTCGATGTGTTACTCTTGGTACTCTCCACAATTTTCAGCCATATTTTGCATTTCGTGTTCTTTTGCTCAACATCTATGGCGTAATTTTGGTGCCAGCAAACTGAGCGTGCAGTGAGAACAATGTCATCGTTTAAACTCGTACACCTTTTCTAAAATCCGGTCTTCCGCGTGTTCAACTCTGACAACTCCCTCTCCACTTCTCTGCTCGCTCAGCTTCATCTCTGCTCTCGGTCAGCTCCCCAGGAATAACTGATGTTATTTCGTTTACAGCTGTTAGACGCTTCTTCAGCGGGCTCATCCACCATTCTCTTTGTTTACGCTTCTGACTGAATCGGTGGAGTCATGTGATTAGACACATGCTGCCGTATGCTGGTGAAATAAAGCCAAACTTAAACAGAGGGGGTGGACTCAGATTTTAGCTTTCAAAAACCTAGAATGCAGTGATTGAGTTGAACCCTTCCAGCTATCATCACAACCCCCAACCCATTACAGGAGAACAGAAGACCTCGCCTATTCAGCCAGGCCAACAATTCCATCTAAAGACCCCCCTTTCAGAGATATAGACAGGTATGGGGCATTGGAGGCTAACAAAAGAAGCCAAAAGAACCCCATTCCTAAGGGACAGAACTGTTTGTCCCTTTCAATTTGCATGTAAATGGTAAATGGCCTGTACTTATATAGCGCTTTTTCCACCATGCCTTCTGACCACCAGAAGTAGACAATGCAGGTGAAGTCTTGCCTAAGGACATAACAACACTAAAAGTCGGAGCCGGGGTTTGAACCATCAATGCTTCGATTTCCGGGCAAACTCCTACATCTTACGCCACTGTTACTACTACCTTCTAAGCAAAAACAAGGCTTTGTTGGGCTATTGTATAAAGCTTCGAACTCAGCGCTATTTCTGACATTTTGAATTGAAAAAACTTCCTGGATGGGAAAAGAAACGTCTTTAAACTTGGAAACAAAGTCCAGTGGATTGTTTTTTAAATTTTTTTGGAACATGCTGCCATGTCTTAAAGGGGAAGGAAATACCAGCCACCAGCACACAGGAAAAATGGCAGAATTTAGAAGTTTTTTAAGAAGAAGTATATTTCTTTCACCGACATGGGAAAATTTTCAACGATTACATTAGTGAAAGACGGTAACGGTAAAAATCCAGTATAGTTACCCAGGCCTAAGTCTATTATTTTTCTCACAACATTATTCTTAACCATCACATCGTTCACATAACACACTGAGGGCAAAGTTTTTATGCTGCATGTCGTTTTTACGACAGCAGTTTTACGTAAGGTTGATAACAGAAGATTTTTCGATGGTTACTCTATATGGCATGGTCAAGAAAGTTGAATCGTCAGTTTATTTATAAAGCGCTAATTGGCAACATGTCACTACAAGCCACTTTACAGAGACAATTTAATCTAAAGATGGAGTCAGATTGCTAACAGTATTCTGTATACGGAAAACAGGCTGAAGTCAACCAGTCAGGAACAGGAAGAAACCTCCATTAGAACCAGGCTCAGTGTGAGCGGCCATCTGCCGAGGCCGACTGGGGTTCAAGGAGACAGAAGCAGACAGAGAAAGGGAACATAAACATACTTATCGTTACAAATTTACTGATACAAAATGCAACTATAAACTAGCTCCTCAGGTTGCTCTGTCCACCTGTTTCGGACGTTCTCAACCATGGTCGTTATTAACAGTTATCAGTCCCAGTGGCTTCAGACTGTGCCTTCTCTACCTTCTACTAGGTTTCATATATGCAGTTTGTCAGTTATAGCATCCGATTAAGGCACATGTTAAACCAGAGGTTTTAGTTAAAATTGTACTACTTTATGCTTTCATTTACTTTATTTACAAAACACCAACTTAAACTTACTTAATAAGATTCCATGTTTCAGTCAACCCCACCCACCCTCGCCTATAGATTAGATAGTGGGATACCAGACAGAGTGAGGTTGCAATTGAACAAAAACTGTCCATCCATCCATTCCATCCA